CTGAATCCAGGTGGAGGGAGTGGGACTGGAGAGGAAGGCATGGACTGCAGGAATTATGGGAGGCCTCAAGATTCCTCAGGAAGGATTGAGGAAGGAGGACCTGAGGGCCACCTCACCCACGAGACCAAGTGGACCAAGTGTCTCCCGGGTTGGAAGCTCCATTTCTGACCTGGGGAGTCTGAAGCGCTGGTGGTCAGGGGACTGGAGGTGTGGCTGGGCAGATGGATGGGCAGGTAGCAGCAGGGACAGGGGCTGTGCTGGAGAGAGAGGTTTGGGAGCTGGGGACAGATGGAAGATCCCTGGAGAAGTGTGGGAAGAGGTCCCAGGACAACCCAGGGGTGGTCAATGTCTAGGGAAAGCTGTCTAAATACTGGATGTCGGTCCCGTCGAGCCCGCCACCTTGCACCCCCTCCTACGCACACACCCACGAATCCAGTCCCACATCCCTGTTCTCACTCTCAGGCCTACACTAGCCGCACCCCTTTCCATCGAGCCCCATTCCTCCCGCAGACCCCGGGGTTAATCCTCCCACCCCCAGACGAGGGGCGCCATCCGCCTTTGTGCGCCCAAGTGCCCGAGGCGAAAGCCCTGGGTTGAGCGCGGCCCTCGCGGCAGCTGAGGTGAAGAGGGCGGCGGGGAGGAGACACAAAGGGGGAGGGGACCCCGGCTGCAGCTGTCCCGCGAGGGGCCTTGACAAAAGGCCTGCTGGTGGGCCGGCCCGAGCCGTTTTCATGCTTGTTGGGATTAGGCTGGCCGCGTGCGGATCAACGGCGGAGAGCGGCGCTGCGCGTGGGGTTCCTCGGCCCTGCCCCCCCCTCCCGCTTTGTGCGCAGCCCGGCCCGCGCCCCTGAGGCGCCGAGGGGCTCGGAGAGGCCGCCTCTTTGTCTGCGTCTTTAGGGGACGAGCCCCACCCCAAGCGCCCGAAGCCAGCTGAACCAGCCCCGCCACGCCCGAGCCTGGGACGCTCCCACCCCACAGGCGCTCTCCCGGCTGTGTGCGGGCACCCCGGGGACCAGGCCCTCCTCAGGCTCTGACCTGCACACCTTAGAACGGAGCACCCCCTTCTCCCACCCTACCCGCCTCCAACTCGTCCCCCAGCCTGCCAGTCTCTCAGGCAGAGGAATCTTTCCTCAAATCTACTGGTGATGAATGAGAATGGAGCGTCAGATCCACCGGTTCTGAGCCTAAGGGTTGGAGCAGGGGGAGCAGGGCTAGGGGCGGTGGGAGGATCTGTCAAGTACAAGGTTTGGCTGGAGAAGCCCACAGGCCTGGGTGGGAGTAGCACACTTCTGTGACGGTCCACAGTCTTATTTCTGACCCAGGTGGCGCCGAGCTGCATGACGGTCTAGGAGTGTGCATTTGTGAGTGTGAGCTACAGTGTGGCTATGTGTACACGCACATGTGTGGAGTCTGGTGCCTGAGTATGGGTGCCTGCTGAGCGTGGGCATGTGTACCAGAGCGGATTTGAGGTCTGGCTCAGGTCCCGGAACAACCCCATCTCATTCTGCTCATCTCACCACCAGCATTCAGTAAACTCACGATTCTAGATGTGAGGCCCTTCGGCCAAGCTTTTTAATACACAAAATAATTGTTCAGCTGCGTCTCTGCCCTCTGACGACCTTCCTGTCCTCACCTGGTCAGATAATAGCAGCTAACATTTATGGGCTGCTTCCTGTGTACCTGGCTCAGGTCTAAGCCCTCTTCATAGGTTCACTCATTTAACTCTTACATACCTCCATGAGAGAAGTACTATTATTGCTCCATTTTACAGTTGAGAAAAGTGAGTCACGGGTAGTAAGTCTAGGGGCCAAGACATCTGGGTTGTCCGCATTAGCGGTCACTATGCTCGGTTGCCTCAGGTTCTATTAGTTCTCTAGGCTCTTCTACCTCCAGGAAACCTTCCTTGATTAGGCCTCAGATCTGGTCCTCTCCTGTTCCTGTCACTGGTGACTGCTGTGACTAAGAGGCCTATCGCTGGGTTTTGAGTGAGGCTTGGAGTGACAGGTAGACAGGTCACAGGCTGCCACCAGGGGACAGTCCATCTCCTTAAAGACACAGGTTCCTGCTGTGCCAGACCTGGGGTTGAGCAGTCCATCTATCATATTCTGAAGTGTTTTTATCCCCCATAACTGTTTGCACTGTTCCTCTGTCCTGAGTTCATTTCCGGCCTCTCTGCACTGCAGGCTTTAACCCCATTGTCCCTGACCCCCATCTAATTGGAGGAATTCTTGGAGAAAATAGTGTCAATGAACCCAGCCCCTTCCTCTCTCCCTAGGTCCTCAACCTTTCACTACTTCCTTGCTGGTCCCTCCCAGGCTTCAGTCCTATCCCTGTTGGTCTTCAGGTCTCAGGTCTGACCTCAGCCCTCATTCCTCCTAAGCAAGACCTCTCCTGTACCACCAAAACCTTGGCCAGCCTTCCTTGCTTCCAGAAGTAGGATTTCATTCTGGTTGGAGGGGTAAAGGGAAGGTGGTGGCTAACTGGCCAAACCTCTCCCGAGAATATGAATCCTCTCTTCTCCCTTTGCTGTCTTGGCAACTCAGAAATTCTCACCCGGATGACTTTGAAACAAGCTTCCAGATAATAGAAGTCTCAGGCTGTGACCTGCACAGGATGCTGACTTCTCCTCTCCTAGGCTCCTAGGCCCTTGTGCATTAGGCTTTTGGACACAAGTCTCATCTGCCTGTGCAGACCAGAGCTGCACAGGCAGGAGCAAGTGCCACAGGTCTTTCACAGAGGAGGAGCTTAGTCTTTTTAATGTAGACAGAGCATCTTTAGGTCCATTTGCTCTTTGGGGCCTCAAAACTGCCACAGGTGAGGAACTATGTCTAGGAGGTGCAATGGCAGCCCTAGCCCATTTCAGTCAATGGCCAGTGTACCTGATGGGGAACTGCAAGTCTGGGCTGGTTGACTCAGCCACTGGGGCCCTGCCTCAGTTTCCTTACCCCAAAACTCTGCTGTCCTAGCTGTGGTTCTTATTCTCTGATCTTGCCAGTCTCCTTTCCAATGCACCTCCACCCTAGGGCCTGATTCAAAATGACCAGCAGGGATTCTGTAAATATATAGTGCAGCATGATATTTTCTTGGTCTAGTCCTCATCTTTTTCTCAGCTCAGGGAGCTCTTTTATGGAAAGGAATATCAGACAGCTTTACAAGTTTTTTTTTCTCGGTACTGGAAATTGAACCAGGGCACCATATGTGCTAGGTAAACACTCTACCACTGACCTACATCCCCAACCCTAGGCATCTTTGCTTTTAAACGCCATTGTTTTTGCTTTTGCTTTTGTTTTTAGATAGTGTCTATTAGTTCAGGCTGGCCTTGAACTCACTATGTAGCCCAAGCTGGCCTCGAACTCATGGCAATCTTCCTGCATCAACCTCTCAAATGCTGGGATCACAGGCATGCGACACCACACCCAGAAAAAAGTGGAATTTGTTAAAATTGGTTCAATATTGTTTCTATTTATGCACCAATTATAGAAATGACAAGAATTATTAATGTCCTGGGTTGCTGTTTCAGGGAGTATACTTTGTGAAGTTTAAAATACATATGTTTTGGAGAGAGCAAATGGAGATACTAGATTTCTTTGAAATGTTTCAATTTTTATGAGAATTATTTATATATAATCAATCAATAAAGTGTGTTTTTATTTAACCCATCACAATATACCTTTTTTTTTTGGTACCGGTGATCAAACTCAAGTCTTTGCGCTTGCACAGCAGGCGGCAAAACCACTGAGTTAAATCCCCAGCCCTCGAAATATACCTTTTGTAGTAGGCAGCCTCTAAGATGGCCCTCAATGATTCCCATCTTCTGGTATTTACAGGGGTATTACACTGGTATTACTCTGATATTGAGTAATATCCTCCCTTCAAGTGACTTGCTTCAAGCTATAGATTATGGCAACATTGAGCAGATGGCATTTCAGCAGGTAGGTTGCAGAAAATTGTGCCTTCTGTCTTGCTAGCACTTTGCTTTCTTGGTTTGGATACTTTGATAAAACAAGCTGCATGCTGGAAGAGCCCCATGGAAGGAACTGAGCCTGAGAACTCATTGCTACCAGCAAATGTCACAGACCCTGGGATCTTGATCAAGACACCTTGACAGAGACTGTGACACAGAGGACCCAGCTAAGCTATGCTCAGATTTCTGACATACAGAAATGGTAAGATCACAAATGTGTATGGATTTAAACCACTGCAGTTTAGAGTGATTTGTTGCACATCAGTGGATAACTAATGGGGAGGAGAAGGGAGGCTAGGATAGATATGGTGAGGGTTGGACCCAGGACAGCTGTAGGCTTGAGCTCTAGACTCAGGAAATTTCAGATTTGGAAGCTTTTCCAGCACAGAAAAAAAAAAAAAAAGTAACTTTTTTTCCCCTGGGAAGTGAATCCAGGGCCTTGCCTATGCTAAGCAAGTGCTCTACCACTGAGCTATATCCCCAGCCTCTGAATTCTAGAGAAATTAGTAAATTAGAAGATATAATCTAAATTGGCATCAACAAATATATGAAATCATGTACACATATTATAACTACATTTGGGGACTAGGGGTATACCTCAAGGTAGAGCATTTGCCTAGCATGTGCAATGCCCTCGGTTCAGTTCCAGAACTGCAAATAAAATGTCAGCACCATGTAAGGACCCTTATGCAGTCTTCTGTAGGCAGGACACCATTCAGGACACTGTTAATGCCAGAGCAGTGTCTAGTTTGAGCATGTGTATGGTTTGTGTCCCTCACAAAACATTCAGGTCCAAAGGTGATTTAGGACAAGGACAATCCCATATGGGGCTCTCAGGGCAGAGAGAAAGTCTCCCCTTTCTTGACAGGGAGGTCCCTGAGACTGCCAGGCAAAGGAGTATGAATTCTTGTTCCCCAGTGTTTTACTCTGTTCCATTCCTTGGTCCCAGTCCCAGGACATTCCTCAAAAGGTGAGCTCAAACAAAGTGCAAGAGGCCATAAGATAACAGGAGAAATAGAAAAGCATACTCAAGAAATTTAATTTTCTGCCTCAGTTTATTCATCCCACTTTGGTCCAGAGGCCAGATTCATATTCATCATGCAAGAGCTGTACACAGAAGCCCCAGGGCCCAAGCTTCCTCCACTCCCTATACCTTTCACTCATCCACTCAATATGGATGAAACTCTTTAGAGATAGAGAAGAGACCCTGCATATTGCAGAGGAGGAGCCTGAGGGCCAGAGGCAGCATCAGTGACTTCCATGCCACCATTCATTTACCTGACAGCATTCCTGCTTCATGCACTGCCCGCCCACCAGGATCCTGCATTCTCTTGGCTCCTAGGAGCAAAGGAGAGCAAAGCAGAGAGCTCTGCTACCTTAACTGATGTTTCTCCTCAAGACCCATCTGCTGTAAAACTCTGGTCGATCCGGTCAGTTTCTGTTTAAAGGGCCATGCAATGACAGAAGAGCAGCCTAAGAGCTTCTAGAGACTGGGCTGACACTGCTACCTGTCCATCCAGGAAACCAAGCTCCAGCTCCTGACAGTTCAGTTGCAGAAAATGGAGCAAACCAATTGGACACCCAATGTTGTCAAACCCAGAGGCACAGAAATGTAGGCACCCAGAGAGGAAAGAGATTTTCCCCCAATAGCCTTGGAACACCTCATATGCTACTTGCAAGCACACATCCCTTTTCATCCGAAGCTTAAATTAATACGGTTTTCAACAACTTTTCCCAGTTGAGAGACATGGTTTATTTGGGAACTGGTATTTTGGAATTTCCACCCTCCTATTCTTCACAGGTTTCTGCCATTTTTATCTCCCCCATCCTAACCTCCCATGTGACCAAAGACAGAGTTCAGAGGATAATGTCTTAACTCCACCTCTGTCCCCACACCCACCCTGCCATGATCTCCACCATCACCCACCAGTTCCCTCTCTGATACCAATTTTCCATCAACTGCCCTGACAAAATTGTAGCTCAAGTGCCATGGGAGGCCAGAGAAGCCAGGAAACCTTATAGCAAAGCCAACGTCAGAGAGAGACAACAGCCTTAGCAGAGCAAGGTCTGGGATAAAGAAAGAAAGGAAGGTAGAAGGAAAGGTGCTCTGGAATATTGCAGGAGAATGGATTAGCCACACCCCTCAGATAAATGACAGTAGAATAGCTCTCTCTCTCCAGAGAGCAGAGGGATACAGGGCAGAAAAAATGCTGGGCAAACCATGGACAACAGGTGTGGGTAGAGGCTTTGTTGGAGCAATTGAGTCTGCCTGCAAATACACATGCTCCCATCATACACTTCCCATGCCTGCACTTGCACACTCATATGTACACATATGCATACACATCATTTGCATGTACCCCCTCATTCATACACATATAAACCCATTCCTGGGTACGTATACATACATGGATGTACAAATTTACTGAAGCTTAAATACATGCTACATACACATGTTCACTCTTACACACTCATACATATAAATTAGCTTGCATATACACATGCATACACAGGATATGTAAGCTCACTCACACGTCTGTACATTATCTGCTTAAATGTTAGCACATGCACACTCATGCTTATCTGCACTCCTGCCAACAAATAATCATGTACATATTTGTGCACAACCACACACACCTGCAAAGACACATGTACACTGTTGCACACTGGTGGAAGCACACTCAGCCCTGATCTTGGGGCCTGGATGGTACTGCCCTCTGTTGGAGACAGCGGATAAGCTCCTTCCGGTTATCTAGGATGGTGTCAAAGCTATCCTGCAGACGGGCCTGCTGGTCAACCAATTGGTGCTGCAGGCCCCGGATCCACTGGAGCAGTGCTAGACGGCGGTACATCACCAAGTGCACATGGTGCTTCTCCTTCTCCTGCTCTTTGTAACGCTCCTGGGCCTGCAGCTGCTGCACAGCGTGGGCTACTGAGAGCAGAAGAGGATCTGGAGGGCCAGGACTTAGAGGGGTCCCACAGGCAGGCTCAGGACTGCTGCTAGTGCTGTCGATGCTCAGTGAGCTGCTGGCATAGCCATTGTCCTCCAGAGGGGAGCAGACAGTGATGGCATCATCATTCTTCTCAGGCTCGGTGCCAGGAATCTCTGCACCCTCTGGGGGGCTACGGACCACCCCCTCAGGGAGTCCCGAGGCCTGGAGGGCCTGGTTGTCAGAGAGTGACTCAGAGGAGCTCCTTGTCGGGATGGGTTCCACTTTGCCTGGCATTCCATGCCAATTCTCATTGGCATCCTTGGCACCCTCCATGAAGTTGGAGTTGCTGTCTGGTTGGAGTTCGGGCTGACATACTCCAGGAGGCATGCTCCCAGGAAACTGGCCTCCCTCAGACAACCTTGGCTGGATGGCAAACATCTGGCCTGTGAAGGGAAAGCCAAAGAATGAGTCACAGTAAGACAGGATGGACTGGCCTGAAGCTGTGGTAACCTAGCTGGAGGTCAGTTGTTTTTCTGACCCTGAGAACTCTACCCTTCATGGTTTTCCTCCTTTCTGACCATTCATTCTCAGTCTCCTGGATCAGGTTTTTCCTCCGCCCTCTCAGGCAGGCTGTCTTCTCACTCCACAAACCTGTCCCCAGATGACCTCATTCTCTACTGTAGCTGCAGGAACCATATGTTGGTGACTCAGATTTGTCTCTAGCCCAGATCTAACTGTTGTCCAACCCTGCAACCAACTGTAGGCTCCTCAAATTTTACACGTCCAAACCAGCTGTGTCCTTAGCAAGAGGCCTCCACTCTCTGTTCCGCCAGAGCCTAGAAGCATCTTGGACTACTCACTCTCTTTCCTGGCTCCATCTCATTGGTCACCAAATTCAGACAATTTTTCCTCTTCCCTCTCACATGGTTCAGACTGTTTCTTACCTGGATTATTGCCACAGCCTTTTCACTAATCCACCTCCAGTTAAAGTGTGAAATTCATTTGTCACAGCTCTGAGCACTGACCATAAACTGTTAAGCCTCTACATGGAGCTGGGTACAGTGATACACACCTTTAATCTCAGCTATTTGGGAGGCTGAGGCAGAAGGATCAAACCTAGCCTGGGCAATTTAGTAAGACCTTGTCTCAAAATCAAATTAAAAATAAAAATGGGTGGGGATATAACTCAGTGTTCTCTGTGCTTAATCCCTAGTGCCATACCAAAAAAAAAAAAAAAGCTCCTGCATGGCTTACTAAACCCTACATGATCTAGCCCTTCTGTACTTAAACTGCCGCCCCACACTGCTCAAACATCTCAAAACACACCATCATTCTCATACCATTCCTTTGGCCTACAATATCCTGCCTCTTCCTCTAAGCTCTTCCGTTTCCTCCTTTTTGTACTCCCAAACTCAGCTCTAATACTCCCCCTTCTCTGATCATCACCCCACTGCCCCAATATATACAAACACACACAGTAAGTTATTATGTGCCTCTGGGCTCCCCTGCTCTGGGTACACACTGTCTTATCCGTGTTTGTTTCCATTCAACTGGAATTGTACATTTATTTGAACAATCTTATAGTGAGTTTTTAATTTGACTCCCTGACTAGACTTGAAACTCTTTTATATATCCTCCAGCATATTCCCAGGAGCCAGCACAGAGCCCGGCACAAAAGTGTCAGCACATATTTACTGGACATGCAATTGAGGGAGGGGACTCCAGTGAGATTTCTGTGCTCAGGAGGATGGAGCCAATGGTAGCAGAAGGCTACTGCTGCCGGCCCAGAGCTGGAAGCGCCAGTGTTGGCTTCCTCCTCTGTCCTGGGACCCCCACCCCGACTCCACTGACAAACCTCCCTTGGGCGCTTGCTTCTTCCTCCCAGTGCTCCTGTTTTGTGTCCCTGCCCTTGCCTGCTCCACCCTTATGGCCCTGGAGGAAGGGCTTCTCACATCTTCTTTCCCTAATAACCAGCTTCCACCAAAACGAGGGTTTGAACTGACAAGAGGTTTCCACTGCCCACACAGAGCTGGGATTAGAAGAACTGAGGCTCATTAAGAGGGAGGGATACTACTGTGTGGAGCAGACCCGAGGAGGGCTGTAGGCAGCAAGGACTCCACATACAGCTGGAGGCAGAAGGCCTGCCGGGACGAGGGTGGGGTCAGTCTCTGGGGCCTGGGCATCATCACCACGCTAGCTTGTGGGAGGTGCCTGGCAATCTTCCTCCGCCCCAATTTTTACTAAATTTGGGTGGGGCCACGAAAGAAACTGGGGCGGGGCGGGGCTAAGGACCACAGGTTCTCGGAAGACAAAATGGAAACGAGGACAACCCAGGAGCAGGACCCCCTCCCCCGTTAATCCAAGGAGGCCTCCCTTCTACTCGGGGCAGGCAAGGGAGACCACCCCCAGGAGACAAGGACAGCGACCCCCGCGAAGTAGAAGCGGGGCGGAGGCTGCATCGCCCGCCCCGCTCCCCGCCTGGGCCCCAAAGCCCTGCACCTCGGCCTGGACTCACTGACGAGAGGTGCCCGCTCCTGCGGGCCTGGCTCTGGCTCCGCCTGGCCCCCGCTCGCTGGGCACTCGTCTCTGCGGGTTGGGGGCGTCCCTCGGCCGGAGCGTCCAGGCTGCCCGGGTGGGTGCGAAGTTCCCGCGCTGGGCGCCCAGCCCCGGCCCAGACTGCAGAGTCCGGCGGCGGCTGCGCGGCGGGGCGGGGCGGGGCGGCCGGGCCCACGTGGACCGGTTCTTTTTTCAACGCAAGAATGGCCAACCCCGCCTCTGGCGGTTTAACCCTGGCCTTCCAGGTCGGGTTCGGGTTTCTAGCCACACACTCCAGGCCTTTCCGAACGATCGGTTCGCCTCGCTGCAGCAGACACTGAGAAATTTCCAAACTGCAACTCTGATCGTTATCGCCTTCCTGCCCCCAGCTCCTCCAGGGCCGCGGAGGAAGCAGCGGCCGCGGCATTCGCCTCCTGCCCGCCCGCTGCCTGTCCAGCTCCGCCCTGCACCGACCTCTCTGCGGCGGGGCCTTGCACACCTTTCTACCCCTCGGCTTTTGGTTTTGCACACACCCTTCCTTCTACCTAAAATTCTCTCCCTCTGCTATTTCTACTTCAGATCTTTTCTCTGAGAAACCTTTTTTGACTCCCTAGATTAGTTCCCCTCATTTTAGGCACCTTTGTTCTTTTTCCTCATAGCATTTATCCCAACTTGGAATTATATATTCATGTTATGCTTTAAAAAAAAACTAATCTCATTAAATGAAAGCTGGCTTGGGGGAGGGGTTGTTTTGTGTGTTTTGTTTTTGTGATACTGGGTATTGAACCAAGAACATTTGCACAGAGCTACACCCCCAGACCTTTTTTATTTTTAATTTTGAAACAGGGTCTTGCTAAGTCGCTGAATTGCCTAGGCTGGGCTCCAGTTTTCTATCCTGCCTCAGCTCCCTAGAGTGCAGGGATTATAGGCGTGTACCGCTACACCATGTTTTGAGTGAAGACAAATAATCCGCTCTGCGACGGAGCTGGGATAATACTTTGGACACACCAATAGTGGCTTCCTCCTGGCACCTGGGCCCTGGGCGCTGGGTGCTTGGGCCATTTGCCCAGCTGAGCAGAAACTGGGTAAGAGAGGGTCTCAGGTTCCAAATACCAACGGATTCTTCTGAGTTCTAATAATTGCTCTTCTCCCTTCCTCCTTGGGGAAATGTGTCAGGACTGGGGACTCAGTTTGCAATCAAATAAGAGTGACTGCTGACCCTAATAATATGAGGCAACCTCTTTCAGTTCTAACTTGATTCCAATTCACCATTCCACAATTTAGAGACTAAATAGCACATTAAATTACACCTACACACCTTATGTACTGGGGTGATTGAAAAATACAGAGAATGGGGCCAGGAAGTTAGCTCAGTGGCACAAGGTCCTGAGTTCGTTCCCTGATACCAAAAAAATCCCCCAAAATACAGAGAATGTTCAAATTAAAATGAAACACACATTGCCAAGAATGATGGGATATGTATCCTCAAAGCAAGGAGTAATATTCTGAGTATTTTGAGGGGGGATTAATGGCATTATGTCATTTACTGTAATAATTTTAAAAATGTAAACATTAACCATATTTTGTGATTAACCCTCATAAAGGGTTTGGAGTGTGGCTGAGTAGAATGCTTGCTGAGCAAGTTCAAGGCCCTGAGTTTAATCCCCAGTACCATACACATACAAAAATCTTCTAAGTAAAACAGGAAATGGAAGAGAATTTGTTATGATTATCACAATACCTATTTTAAGAAAAAACAGAAAATAAAAAGGGAAAAGTAGAAGTCAAATAGGGCACTCCCCACAGCTAAGAAAATACAGGTGGCATCTTCAGCACCATTTCAGGTCCTGATGCCAAGTTCCTCTTGCTTTCACCCAAATTCATACTCCTAAAAGCTATGAGCTTTGGTGGTCTAGGGTTATGCAGATCTCCCCATACCATACAACCATAGTCATCTAATTGTTTTGCCCAGAACAACCCTTCCTTCAGGCGTTATCTCCCCTACTTCTAATCATGTGGGTTGAACAAGGACTGATGAGTCCAAGGACAGGAACCTCACCCTAGTGAGCCAGTCAGAGTTCTTGTTTGAGACTTTCTAGAATGGAAGAAGAAACAGTGAAGATGTGAGTCTAGGGCTGCAGCAATCATATTCCCAGCCAAAAGGAAGAAGTCAGTCTGTAGTAGGAGAAAATGGTGTTGACACGCAGAAGTAGAAATGAAAAACACAAGTCCTGATTTCCTGTTTCTTTTTCCTGGTGTCCCTGTTTCCCGAGGCCTTAGAGTTTTGATACCTTCCCATGAGGCCCTCATTTTGCCAAGCCTAACTTGAGTGGAATTTCTGTCACTAACAATCAAAAGAATTCTGATTAAGACAGTACCCTAGGTTCCGCTCGTATACCTCTCAGCCCTCAACTATCTTTCCCTGGACTTGGTAACCGTTATCAGTCCAGTCTACACTGTGATCGGCCTTTCTGCTGGTCCTCTGGTGCTATGAGGAGTCTGAAATGCATCTTTGTGTTCCCTGGTTAGAAACTCTCTTCCATAAATGCTGAAGCCTCCAGACCCCTTAGAGTCCTTAGGTGCATTACATAAGGTGCTACACCCACCTTTACTTCTGGCTACAAAGCCCAAAGAACTACATATTGAAGACAGTCACAGTGGCACACACTCGTACTTCCAGCTACTCAGGAAGGTGAGGTAAGAGAATCGCTTGAGACCAGGAAGTTTGGGAGCCAGTATGGCAAGGCCCTAATTTATCTATCTATCTATCTATCTATCTATCTATCTATCTATCTATCTATCTATCTATTTTTAAGTCTATGTTGCACTCTGCCAGGCAGCACCCCAGGACCTGGCATAGTTGAGTCATCAATTACACTGTTCCATAAGGCTAGTTGCTTTCAAATAACATAATACCTGATAACTCAAGGGCATGTTGTGTGGGATACTCAAGCACCATATAATTCATACAGACAGTGCTTAGACGGGGCTCCTGGCTACTCTATAATTTTCAGAAAGATGAAAGCCCGGAGAACAAAAAGCACCAGTTAGGCAGAGGTGTCCATGTCTACATGAAGACAGAAAAGCAGATGTTGGAACACCTGTGATTCATTCACTGAAGGCTTCTCCAGTCAGGACATCAGGGTATTAGTTGCCCCACATGCAGGGTTATCTATGGCTGTGTCCACCCTCCATATATGCCAGGGACTTAATTGGGAGGGCCATAGAAATCACCAGATGATCAGTTCCAGCATGAACAGGCTCTGTTGCCATTCAGGCCATCATCATGAAGTGGTGCGCAGTGAGTAAGAATATTGGCAGAAAAGTGTCAGAGCCAAGAGCAGCTAGCAGTGAGTAGCCAGATCCAGGCCCATGGGTCTGGGATGTCAGGCAAGGAGACAAGGAAAGATGACAGAAATTTCTACTCCAGGAAATAGGGCAGGCATGAGGGTTCATTATTGGTGTATAATTTTTCTATATCAGTACTCATAGAAAGTGGTGGCTAAGAACAAGGGTTTCAGCCTCAAAAATCTTGCTCCTTTTAGGTAGGCATAGTGGTACACACCTGTAATCCCAGCACTTGAGAGGCTGAAGCAGGAGGATCACCACAAGTTCAAGGCCAGCCTGGACTACATAGTAAGTTCAAGGCCAGCCTGAATTACAGACCAAGACCTTGTCTCAGAAAAAAAAAAATCTTGCTCCTTCCCATCCATTCATTCACATGCAGCACATAGTTAGAGTGCTTACTTTATGCCAGGTACTGTGATAGGGATCCCAAGCAAAATCAGAACTGGTTCAAGGGGGTGGGGTGTAACTTAGCTTTAGAGCCCTTGCCTGCCAAGTGTGAGGCCCTGGGTTCAATCTCCAGTACTGTAATCAGTCCATGGAAGAAAGGAAGGGAGCGAGGGAGGGAGACAGACCTGGTTTTGGCCTTCAGGCTGTGAAGGATGAATAGTTCACCAAGAGAAAGCAGAAGGCTTAAGAGACTGCATATTCAGAGTGTGTTCAGAAACAGCATAGGCCAGTGTGACTGGAGGTTGGGAGGAAAGGGAGGTAGAAGAAGCTAGAGAACAAAGTTGGCCGGTTGTGCAAGGTCTTGACAAGGTCATTCAAGGAGGTTGGGCTTCGTCCTGTGGGGAATAGGGAAGTAACTGGGAAAACCCCCAAAGTTTCCACATCAGAGCAGTCTAGTCCAGGACACAAGCTACATTGCTGCCAGCTTTCCCCTCTTTTGCTGAGCTCACGTCACCTGTCAACTTCCCCAAAAGGCTTTGGGGACTTAGGCATATCGAGAAATTTTAACTTCCTTGAGCTAAATAAGGATAATATTCCTTGAAAGTTGTTGAATAACATTATAATTTTGAACATTGTTACTTAATCTCCCAAGACCAGGCACAAGAGGACCTTTGACACATCAGAAAGCCCTTAAGGCAGATTAGAAGGAAGATTACTCCCCAGAATTGGCTCATCTCAGGAGAGAAAGGCCTAGGAAGCTGGTGACCTAGTTGTTTTGTTCATCCATTTCTCCACTGCCTCTTAAAGGTAAAGTGCTGCTGTAGTCGGAAAGGAAATTACTGTGTGTCCACCTTAGGTAAAAGGTGGCCATTCCGTCACCCACAACATGACTGTTTTCTCAGCTGTGAAATGAGGGTGAGGTACTTCCAATCCAAAGTTTTGAAGTTTTGTTTTGTTTTAGCCTTGGAATCTTTGGCGGGGAGGGTTATTACTGGGGCGACTCTTACACGCTGGGCAAGCCCTATGCCCCTGAGCTACATTCCCAGCCCTGGAATCAGTGTTTTTCCTTCAATTAAAATATTTGCAATATACCCAGTTTGAGATTTTTTCTTCTTTCCTGGCCTTTTTATTCTAAAAGGCTTCTGAGCTGTATCTCCAGCCCCGAGATAGGTTTTAAAGCTAGTGGGGCACAGTTCCAAACCCACCACACCAGAAAAACCTAGAAAAGAAATCCTCTTTCAGCTCTCTTCCCAGCCAAGGGAAAAAAGTGAACAGGGGTGTTCTGGAACTGTTAGAATGAAAGGTTAGTGTGGAATCTTTCTCTGTAAAGCACCTGAGAGGCGAATGGCTTCTCCCAAGCCTCTCCTCTTGGCTTCTTCCAAGAGAGAAGAAAAGCCAGATCCCAGGTCATGAGGCTGTTGGTCCTGAGCTACATGAACATGCTGAATGAAGAAGGAACAAGAGAAAGGGATGCCTGCTCTACCCCCTTCCTGGCAGCTGCCTCTGTGGGCCCATAATCCCTCTCCCCCACCTCACCCTCTGGCCGCCCACCTCTCTTCCACCCACCCATTCATCAGTAGGAGGGCACCATATCAGCACAGCCTTTCAGGGCCTGACAGGTCCTTTCTGGGTGCCCCCCACATGTAACCACTTAACCCCCAGCACAAAGGGCCAAGTTGAATGAGCTTGGAGCTGGTGGCTCGTGCAGAAAGGGGAGGACTCAATAGGATTTGGGGAGCTGGGTGTATAAACTGCTCTGCTCCAGCAGCCCTCAATGGAGGAGCTGGAGTCCGG